TGGGTCCCTGGTCGGAGAACCTGTGGGGTCAGCGGGCCGACCCGCGCACCTGCCTATCTCGGGACTCCCCGTTCCGCGAGATGGACTTCACTCACGCGTCCGTTCAGTTAGGTTTCTACTAGAAGAGGAAGACGTCCTGATGCAGACTCGGAACTAGCATCCACTTGGGGTCAAGACAAAGCGAAACAAAGCTAAAACGTGTGTATCCCTCGTGCACAGAAAGATGGCCCCCATTCCAGCCTCTCTGTGTGTACACACGGAGGGCCAACAGTGGTCGGCTCTGGGTGGAAAGACAAGTCACTTCCTTTTGACTCCTGTTTTTAAAATATTTTTTCAATCTTTCCACAATAAATACCACTTTTGTTATCAAGAGAACAACTTCCAAAATGAATAAAAGGGTTTGCTAAGAAATCATGGTAGCAAAGTTTAAAAATGTGCCCAGATTATGAACTACATGACTTTTATTATAATGTAATTCCAAAGTACTCATTTAAAATGTACACTGACTTTACAGGAAAATTACAGTATTAAGCCAGAGATTTTCCTTTATTTTAACTTTATTAAAATAACTATGTATGGTTTTATGTAAAATCATTTCCATAGTCCTCCCCATCTTAATTCTACATTTCAGAATGAAATCTTATAATCCTAACTTTGAATTCTATGAAATACTAATGCAGAAAATCAGAAGAAAATGAAAGAAGTAGTCCGGGATGGGTGAGATGCGCTGCAGGTGAGGAGACAGGGGTGCCGGCTGCAGGCGGCGTTAGAGGGCGCCCCCTGGGCTGTGAGCGCAGGGGGCGCACAGGGCGGCTGCTCCCGCCTGAATGGAAGAGCTGCAGCCCCGCAGAGACTGGCGCGAACGCACGCCCTCGAGGTGCTCTGGGTCCTCGCTTGGTTCCCCCAACGCTCTCCTGAGACAGTGGGCAAGACAGGAATTCTCTATTTCAGAAAAGACGAGATCGCCCAAGATGCTACTGGGCGTCTGATCAGAAACACCCGTGGAGGGAGTGGGCGCCTAGACCCCAGGGCTCATGCATTTGGTGTGTGGGGCGGGGGCGGGGCCCCGTGGAGTATCAGCTGGGGTCACCTGCGAGTCCGGCCGCCTGGGCAGTGGTGAGCAGACAGTGTGCTCCCCCCTGCCACACAGAACCTCTGCTTTCAGGGGTGTGGCAGGCACCCTAACGCCAGGAGCACCAGACGTGCAGTTGGCGGAAGCAGCGCCTGCTCGGGCCCAGGAGGCGAAGTTAGGATGTGCGGTCACCCCGATGCCCGGGGATAGAACCCAGCAGCTGTCTTCACTGTTCAGTTAGCAACCACTGGAGTCCCGCGGCCTGAGCCAGAGAGGAGGGAACATGCCCTGGACCACACACTGCCCATGTGCCACGGAGCTTAGGTCGATATATTTACAGACTAGCTGAGGTAGCAGGAAACGCTTTAATCACTTT